CCAGCTGACTTCCTGTCCCTTGGGCAGGGGGCTGGAATCAATGATCTTCTGAGGTTGCTTTGAGCCCTAATGTCTATGAAATCTATGAAACAAGGTACATCATTTATGTGCATGGTCCTTTCCCATCCACATTCAAACAGAAAAGGTGGAGGGAGGAAGCAGGGAAAGAATGATTTTTTCCTGTCCTTCATTTTCAGTTGATCAGCTATACTCCTGGTTAACAATATAACACAAAGAAGCTGCTGAATATATCCTGATTAGAAGTGGGTTCCATTCTGCTGACATTGACATTTTATAGGTTTAACAAATGCCATATCCACAAGCAACAGTGATATCACTGCTAGTATCAGCAGCCCTGTGCACTCAGCTGAAACAGAAAACAAACATTTACAAAATCTAAGAAAGAAGGGACATTTTAATTTGATATGTCTCACTACTTCCTTATTGCTAATTAACTACAGTTTTCAGGGTAGTGGGTAGTAATAATAATAATGAAAAAAATGAAAATACATTTTAAGATTCTAGAGATGAGATCTATGAGACAAACAATAAAAATGCCATCTGAAAAGGTTTGGACAGATAGTGAGCTGTGTTTACTGCCACTAATTAGCTAAGAATATTGTGCAGAGCAAGTTTGGACATAAACAACTTTTTGCTTTTGTACCTGCTCATTTGTTTGTTCATCTGTTTTATCTTGTGTTTTAGATCAACATTCAGTGATTCATTTCAACATCTGCCTATATCTAACTCAAGCCAATGGGGTTTAAGCTCATACTCAAATGCTTTGTTGACAGGGACTGCACTAGCTTTAGGCTGTTACCCCTTTGAGACAAAGACTGTTGTGGATACAACACTTACAGCATACAACATCTACAGCATATATGTATACAACACCTATAGCAATGGAATCAAAATCTGCCTGAAGTGTTTAGGCATTCTTGCAAAATAAATTAAGTCCCTTTCTTCTACATGTCAGAACAGTTGTGCTCAACCTTTTTGGCTGGTGGGCCAGATGGGAAGTACAGTCAGTTGGCAGGCCAGATCTGGCTAATGGTTCGGATCCAGCACCTAGGCAGTCCTGGCAGGACCCCATCCAGCTGTATGGGGGATGGGGGTAAAGGGGGACAGCCAAGCCCCAACCCAGCCCCATGTAGGGAGAAGGTGTAGCTCAGCCTGACTGAGCCATGCAGGAGACAGAGGATGTGACCTTTCTCTAGTGGAGCCATTAAGGTAGAGAGGGCTCCAGCCCATTGTGCCAGGCCCAAGGTTTGGGATTTGGTGGAGAGGGATTGCAGCAGAATTAATAGTCACCCTTCCCCTGCCACTAAATTTCCTGACCCATGGGGAGTCCACAGGCCAGATACTAGGCCTGTGCCAATGGGGAAGTATTCAATTCAGATTCATCTGATTCGGAGGATAGTGATTTGATTCGGAGATTCGGATCACTGTCCCAAATTGATTCAACTGAATAGGCTTCTGAAGATTTGGTGCTGATTCAGAGAGATTCAGCAATTCGGCCATAGACTATAATGGGGAATCACTGAAATATCTATTACTTTGTCATTTTTTAGCTGATTTGGATAAACTTTGCAGTGATGGTAGCCCCTTTTGAGGGCACGAAGCATGCCAAGTTTCAAGGAGATAGGTGCAGGGGTTTCTGGGAAACTGCACCTGAGGCTGCTGACAAGCAAAACTTGTGACATACATGACACTGTGTGCGTATTAAGGAGTGCCTTCACTGGCACTGGGGCCTCTACATAACACGGTAGTGTGTCCCAATGAGGTCTCCTCCTCCCCTACAGCCTCAGTCCGATTCACCACTTTAAATAACAACAGGTAAGCAGTGCACTGCAGCACAGTAGCACTAGCATTTCAGGCAGTCAAACTGCCACAAAGCCTTTCTTTCCTTTCCTGCAGAAGCTTCTTCTCCAGCAGCTGCTACAGAACTCTCCATGCCAGCCCCAGCCCTGGGGCTTAGATGTGCCCAGGACCCTGCGCCCTTCTGGTCAGCTGACTGGGAACAAGTGCTAGGGGTGTTGATCTAAGGACATGGCACTGGCATAGTTATTTGGGTCAATCTGGTATCTTTTAGTAGACCAAGTGAATAGTTAGAGAAATATATCACAGCTGGGCCTATGAACTTCACTTCATCAGCCCCCTAGGTACAGAAACTCATGGACTCAATAGAGACATCGGATTTATGACACACTACAACCTGCCAGACATCTGACTCCCCAG